AACCACCGGCAGAGCGATGTGCTCATAGTTTATCACCAACAGGGTGAGCTGTTGCGGACCAAATCATGCAGCAGCTGAATGCCCTTGCTTTGGACCGATCCTCCCCCTCGTCGTCTGCCCCCATAGAGAAGGAAGAAATACTGAGGAAGCCCAAGAAAGATGCTCCATGCCACTTTGTGATGACCCGCCGGAGATTCAACTAGCATGTGGTTGGCATGCCTTGTGCCGTGAGGATTATGAACGGATAGTCCATGCAAATTTTTGCTTCCGAACATACGACGACAGTCAGTACTGTACTCATGTACGGCACCCTGACATATCATGTCCAATTTGTAGACAGGGCCTGGAACGACAATGCCTCTATAATTGCGGTCAACGTGCCTCTGTGTTCCTAGCATGTACGAGCCACGTAGCCTGTGACATCTGTCTGTGCCGTGCCATTCGATGCAGCAACTGTGACTGCGAAAATTGGATGCAGTGCTTCCATAGCCCACTGTCCGGTCTGTAGCGGTGGCCACTTGCCATAGGCATTAACTGCGCCTCAACCCACAATTGTTTTTTTGCAACCCTGTGCCATTCCAGAGTAGTCTGCTCCAGCGGCGAATATTTAGAATTCTGCGAAGCTCGTCATACACCTCTCCCTTGCCCTTTGCATGTCATTCTCTATCCTGCCATTGATATATTTTTCTTTCCTGCCCTTTGCCCCCACCTCCCCTGCCCCATACTCCTATAGAACTCCGCCTTCTATCCCTTACCCTCCACCCTCACCTCCACTCCCTTTGTGCTACTAACAAATACATACGAATGAGCATCATTAAGAGAACAGACGATATGAAGATCAGAAATGAAATGAACGGAAGTATGAAGATGAAGGACGGACACAAAGACTGTATAAGCTGAAAGTGAAATGAACAGGAGTATGAAGGTCTGAAGAGAAATGCACAGGAGCATACCTTCCCTTTTACTCTGCCTCCTGAAATAACGTGCACGTGGGCCCTGAAGGCACACGGGGATGTGGGCAGCCRCCGCTCAACCACAATCAACGTGGGCAGCCTTGTACGTGTGAGGCATAGTAAAAGGGGAGGGGCAAGAACAATGGAAGGGGTACCCCAAGGACAACCAAAAAACTGTCTAATTATAAAATTGCTTTAATATGTTGGACTGTGACTGTCTCATTTCAAATGCTCTCGTTGTCTGCAATAGGACAAAGACAGCACTGATTCTGAATATAATATATATTCATCTGGGTGGAATTGGGGCTGTTGTGGGGAAAATCTATAACACACACACACACACACACACACACACACACACACACACACACACACACACACACACACACACACACACACACACGGGTGTGTGGGCACGTGGCGCTGAACCACACAAACGTGGCCAACACACACACACTGATAGAGACACACATGTAAAGACTCAACCGTTGCACTGACCCTCCTCTGTGAACCTAGAGAAACTGTATCTTGATGTGGCACCCTGTGTGGATAAACCCCCATCCTTGCGCCCCCTCCCTCCCCCCCCCCCAACACACACACACACACACTGACACAGACACACATGCAGAGACTCAAACCGTTGCACTGGCCCTCGTCTGTGAACCTAGAGAATCAGTATCTTGATGTGGCACCCTGTGTGGATAAAMCCCCATCCTTGCCCAATTGGCCAATGGGACACGTGCCTGACTCGTTTGGGAGCAGTGTGGAGGCACAGATTCAACATCTATTTCAGGCACTTCCCTCTCTGCGCGATCAGCTGCTGTACTTTCACACTGCTGTTTTTTGTTGACGGTTCGGAAAATAATATGCTGACAACTTGACATTCATAGCCCCTTTTTTTTAATGTGATGATGAAATCAGCTAGCCCTTAACATTATTACATCCAATGAAGTATCCATCCGATTCCATCAGGATTTGAATTCCCATGTGTTCATCATTAACAGCTGTATGTGTCTATCATACAGCCACATTTGAAGATAAGCTGATGATGATGAATTACGCAGGAGGACGAGAAGACACAAGCAGATTGGATCTGAGCAGCAACAACAAACGTAATCTAAAAAAAAAAGTTAAAACTTAAAACAGTAAAATATTAAAAATACTAAAATTCAAACTTCAAAGCCTTGAAGCATTTTTTTTAACAGTGTGGCAAACCCCCTTTGAACCCCTCTCTCTTTTGTCCAGGGGTCTTTAACTGAAATTGGGTGTGTAGGCTTTGCCGCTTTGCTAAAGAGCATTCACATCGTTCCAGCTCCAGTGGGTATAGGTGGGACAACAGCATGAAGGAACAGGGTTGTGATTTTCCCAGAAGATGAACTTTTTTTGCTGACATCCTCCTGCCTGCCGGACACGTGCGCCCCATCCATGGCACATTTCGTGGTGTCGGTGGATTCCCGACACCAACATGAGGGACAGGGTTATGAGTTTCCCAGAAGATTAACCTTTTTTGTTGAAATCTTCCTGCTGTCGTACACGCGTGCCCCATCCATGGCACATTATTTCGCGGTGTCAGTGGATTTGGCCGGGCCTCTCGTCCATACTTTTTTTTTTTTTTTTTTTTTTTTTTTTTCCCGTCTCGTGCATCATGCTTCCTCAGGTTTTAAGTCAACTTGTCCGGTGCGCTCTCCTCTCTCTCTTCCGATCACAGTCTTCCCCTTTGTATTGAACGAGCCCCCCCTGAAGGGCCTGAACCCTTTCTTTTTCAGGCAGCTTTTCCTCACTGGGACTTGGCACTTGGGGACAGTTGCAATTCTCTGAGACCTTTGCCGCTCTGCAAGACAGAAAACTTCCCCGCCCGCTCCAGGGAACTTCCAAAAAGAATGATGCAGAAAAAGCAGCAGCAGAATCCATTCATAAAACTTGGTGAGAGTATTCTGCGTGTTGTCACCGTTAAACATTGGCATTAGTATTCTGCTTGGTGTTCTGCGTGCTGTCACCGTCAAAGACTGTGCTGCAAGGGCAAGGCTCACAAAATGCCTCAATCTCAGTACCCAGAAGGTTAGGGGCGAAAAAAAAAAAACAAGGGTTCACATTTTCACGCAAAGCGGAAAAGGGCACGCACGAGGTCACTCAAAGAAGCAGGAGGGAGGTGGCGGGAGGTGGTTGGTTAGAAATAACACCCGAGCATCTGCACAGACCGCACGTTCTGCAGGCCTCAGCAGACAGACCAACCATGCCAAAGTCTAAAACAAAGGTTTGCTGCTGGGGTTGCTGTGAGAAGTTCATTGAACCTTATCATTTAGAGGAAGGAGAAGTCGGAACAAGGTTTCCATAGGTCAACCTCCAGAAGGATTATTTACGGAAAAGGGAAAAAAAAAAGAAAAAGGGACTCTGGAGCGACAAGCTGTAGCAGTAACTGGACGTGCTAATAAATACCTCAGGAGTCAGGAATGATACAAAATTATTACAAAATTAATACATTTTTTTTTTTTATTTTTTTTTTTTAATGATGACACGAATCTATAATAATGAGATGAATCAGATGATACAATTTTCTAATATTTCTATATAGTAATGAGATATAAGTTGAAGATAAGCTGATGATGATGACTTACACAGGAGGGCGAGAAGGCACAAGCAGATTGGATCTGAGCAGCAACAACAAACGTAATCTAAAAAAAAAAGTTAAAACAGTAAAAATTAATATGTTTCTATTCTTTCTCTATTATCATAGTTTTGTTGTAGACTACTTGTAATTAGAATGCACTTTCATGAAGAATGAATAATCAAATCAATAAGTATATAAAAGAAATCGAAACAAATTTATACAGTTTGTCACAGCCCCTTGTTTGTTGTCCTCTTCTCCCTCTCTGCCTACGGTTTGCCGGGCAGCTCTGTTTGACTATATATAGTCAAACAGATCTGCTCGGTAAACCGTAGGCATATGTAGTCAAACAGAGCTGCCCAGTGAACCGTAGGCAGACAGGGAGAAGAGGACAACAAACAAAGGGCTGTGACGAAACTGTTTCGTCGGAGTTTATCATATAGATATGAAATGAAATGATACAATATTCCAAATAATTAAATAATTGATTTTAGATTCCCAATTCAAGAGAATTAAATGCAATTGAGAAATGAGATATTCATATTGAATTCGTTATATTGTATATGTTTAATCTAACTACATTAGAAGATATTTATAAACATAAACATGCATATTATAAATTATTTTATTTTGTTGTATTCTATTTCTGATTTTATATTTTTTATCCTATATATTTTTATTATTTGATTTATTCTGGCCTCATGTGCCATTCTAGAGTGGTCTGCATCAGCGGTCACTATTTAGAACCCTGGCAGAACTCCACCTCCCATTTCCTTCCTCTCCTCTCTTGTGTATTACTAGGAATACATACGAATGAGCATCATTAAGAGAACAGATCAAATATAAGTTGAAGATCTGCGAAGAAATGAACAGGAATATACCTCCGCCTTTGCTCTGCCTCCTCTCATAGTGTGCAAGTGGGCCGTTATGGCACGCCGGGATGTGGGCAGCTCGTGCTCAAACGCAATGATCAACGTGGCAAGCCTTGTGCATGAGAGACACGGTAAAGGGGGAGCTGCAAGAACAAATGAAAGGGGTACCCCAAAGAAAGCAAACGTGAATACAATCATGAGAGGGGTTTACATGCCTCTATTGTACTTCATGCTGCTTGCTATAGAGGTGAAACTGTTTCATTGTTGGATTGTCTCAAGACTCTCAACTCAAGGGCTTTCGTTGTCTGTAATAGGATTAAATTATTTAAATATGCTTTAATTTTGGATCTGCTCATCTGGGTGGAATAGAGGCTGTTGTGGTGAAAATTCAAAACACACACACACACACACACACACACACACACACACACACACACACATCATGTCCCTATGTCTTCTCCCTTGACCACCTAACCCCTCCACCCCCCCCTAAGTCCCCTCGTTAACTCCTATGTGCACATAAAATGTGCTTGTGTCTTGCGGTGCCGCTACATGTGGTCATGGCTACAGACATCCCGGGGGATGCATCTGAGGACGACATCAAATTGGCCTATCGGAAGCTAGCAAAGAAATATCATCCTGATGGTCAGTATGTTATTTTAGCTTTTTTCGTTTTTCATGCCCCCTCCCCC